ATATTAATTCAGCAACAATGCTATGTTTGAGAATGTTGTGCAGACGTGTCTATTGTCTTCTTTTTACCTGGTTTGCTACGAGTTATTGTTTTGTGTCAAGGTTTTTTTTCGTTTGATTACTATACAGTCTTCTGTGTGATTTTACTGCTTTGCCTCTGTTTGTGTAATATCTTGCTACGTTTTACCATATAATAACCAACACAATTAGACTTACCATCCCATTGTATAAATGTTGATGCTCGTTTTTCGTGTCTAGTTCATGTCCGGTGACACAAGTGGCTAGTGTCGACGAAATTTTCTTTCTTTTATTATTTAGAGTTAAATTAATGATCTGTGTTTTACTATTTGGTTATATAACTATAGGATTAGTTATTGTTTATGATTATATCGTTTCATTTGGTTAAACGGGGTTTTAAAAAACTGTAATTACAAGAAACAATAATATTGGCTTCAGCTGTTCCATAAGAATGGGAAATATACTAGGGGAGTATGTTTATCTATCGTTTTAGTTACCGTAGGCTACATTCTAAACTCGTACGGCCGTTACAGATTCTGAAACGGCTTTACAACTTTTTGTAACAGTCATAATTTCCGCTACAATCTCCTAAATAACATCGACGAATTTAATGCAAATTCATATAAACAGAATTACGATTGTACGAGAATATTTTTTAAGTAAGGGCCTTGTGCGTGTCAGTGAGTGTTGGTTCTTAGTTCCCGTTATACTCCCTAAGACATTCCACCAATAGTCCGTGGGTTTTAATAGTTTGGAAATTTATTAACTAGGTCGGAGATAACCTTATGCTGGGGTTAGCCTACATGCACTCAAAACCAAATTTAAGAAAAAATGTTTTCCTTTGATGACACTTCAGATTTGTAATTAGTGTTAATAATAAATCATAGTTTCTTGCTACAAATCTTAAATTCTTTTTCTTTTAGTGGTAGTCAGGTAGTGTGCATAAATCCCAATCATTTTAATGATATTGCTATTTATTCACTTGAACCAACTTAAATTCAAAACATCTTTTAACAAAATAATTTCTTTCTTCATGGATAAAATACTTTAAATAACAGTTGGCTATATTCTATTCCAAAACAAAATAAATGGGTGGATCTAACTTTTACAAAATTCCAATTCAATCAGTGGTTAGGTAGACTTGGGCTGTTCTTACTGCTACTCATACTAGTTAACACGTCCCCATGGCAGTACATAATGCAATTATTACACCTTGAATCTCGTCTGAAACATTACCCAATATACAAATAAAATGTATTCTAAACATGGTCTAACCTGGAAATAACACATGACTGTTTAAATATTCACTCTTTAAACATTATTAAACATTAGTAAAATATTACTCGTTTGTAATACATTCAGACATCAAATCATTACAATGATTAAGGAATTAATATAGCCACTTATTTAAATATTTCTTAAACAAGATTAAATCAGCAAAATTTAGAGTAAAATCACATGAGGACTCAACTGATAATTACGTTATAACCCATTCATTGATAACTAAAACTAAAATCTTTCTTTGACAGAACATAGTGGACCTGTAAACATAATCACAAAACATAATTTTCAATAATACTTAAATCTAAAATTAATTAAAATAATTTCGTACCTTGTCGACGAGTTCTCAACAAACTTAGCCCAGTGCTGACCTTCCACTGACCTATCTAACGGTTAATTTTTAAATTATCAGTGGTACCACAATATAAGGCAAAATACTCTGCTATTCCCCCTCAGTCAACACTGCACTAATGAACTAAGTTAGAAATTAATACTATAACTCCCTCTTGTGCATAAACAGTAGATTGACTCAATTTTTATTTACTATATTTATTCCATGAATAGTAGGTACACCGTATACGCCGCAACGAGGCTCCTAGCCACTTACTGACAAAATTTGTTAACAGAACGGCTACATTTGCAGCACTATAGCATTTCACTTTTCTGTGTGTCTAGAACATTTGGAAAATGAATGAATCTCCCACCGCATACATAATAAGGTCAGTGGCAAGTTTTTTGACTGCAAGAAACAGATTTGCTGCAGAGAACTGAAGTTTATAGCCCCAAGTTTATAGAGAGTAATGTGTTCAACACATAGATTAGTATTTCGAATAAATGTTTTGGATGTCTGTACCATGTACCGTTTTTGAGTGTCCTTATTTGAAACGATGAGGTTAAGACTTACATAAGTGAAACCCAAAATAAGCCCGGTAGAAAAGTCTTAGGACAAGTATGTAAGTGATTTTAAGTATGTAATTTTCAATTTTGAATAATCAATGTTTTTTTTCTGTTACAGTTTATTGTACCATCTGGCCCTACTTGCCTCAAAGATTGGGTCGGAAAGTATGGAACCATCTCGCTCCACATATACTTCCGCCAATTCAGCGAACTCAATTGTGTTGTGTGATTGAAAAAATGTTCTTAAAAAAATATAACCAGCCTATATTTCTACATATACAACTTTTTGTTGCCTTTAACATTTTATTATACGAAAGCTCTTAAGCTCTCTGGAACATTACTATTGTAAAAGAAATCGATAAACTATATTTTATCATTGGGTTAAAATTTTCTTATATTCACTAAATTGCAAAACACCATATAGATGTTGGCGCTCACCGACATGGTCTTTATCACCATGAACGATTGTTTCAGCTGTCTAGAAGAAATTGCGCATGACCAGATGTATAAAGGTAGACGTGGCTTTGCTAAAAAATTACACACTGTTAATATATCTTTCAGAATACATCCCGGGAACGACGGTGTGTCAATACAGTTAGCAGAAGATGCCTTCATGTTCTGGTTCCGTATAGGCTTCGGCTTTTGGATATACAAATATAGGTAAATTGAGTTTTGGAAATTGTTAACCTGATGTTTTAGTTTGTTTTTTGTTCAGAAATAATACATGAAAAGGTTGGTAAAAAGTTCAGGGATACCTGGTCTATACTGCAAAAAAACATTTTAGACTAGACATTCAATTAGGCCATCATGTCGACAACGTAAAAAGATTATAAAACAAACAAAAATGTATAAATCTGCAGTTTAACACTATAATCTAGGTGCTAGTCATGTGTGATGAAACAAGACAAAAGTGAAATTTGCACAACCTTTTAGTTCGTTAAACATGCAAATTGGCGTCTGCGATTCTTAGTGTTTATGTTGGCTTTCAAAACCTTTTAGGAGCCATGACTTGCTTTTAGTCTCATTTGTAGACATTCTGAAGTATTTTGTGTTTAATACCATTTTGTCTAATCACTTGTGTATAATGTGGTATTAGTAAGAAGAGGTCCAGAGTCCTTGGACAACCCCAGTGAACTCATTGGCTACTGAAACGTAATTTCCGTAATTTTTCAAACGGAGTATTTAAGACCTTGTTCGTTGAAGTCTCAAATAATTTTTCAAAACTTTGAATATCCTCACACATAGAACCTCTATGTTAACTTTCGTCCCCCTATACATAGTATATGGAGAAAATATTTTTTCTGTCAAAATTTTTGAGTTTGAGTTTTGGGTGGTATTTGGGCGATGTACCCAAAAAAGTGGCTTTTTTTAGGTTTGCGGCCTATTTTAACTTTGCATTTTGCCCATCCAGAGTATTGTATTTGCTTTCGTGGTGTATGTATGTGGATGTGTACTGTACAGTGTTAAAGTAAATACTACACCCGTGGTCCGGAATTGAACAAAATTTTATATGTATCTACTTATCTATGGAATTTACTGGGGTTAGCTTTTACGGGTTTTCCAATAAAAACCCAAACAACGGAAAAAACGTTTTTTTATAAAAAAAGTGGCTTGACCAATTTTTATTAAATGTTACAGTGCTTTCAAATCCAAATGAATCTGCAAAATCTCAAAGGCTTTAAATTCACGGCTTAAATGTTGCTGTACATTTGTTTCCCAATAAAATATCATAGGTAATCCCACCCCTTACCCCTAAGGGTTGTTGGCAAGCTAATGGGAGACAATACGTGTTAGATTGCTAAATACATTTATTTTTCTTAGCGGATTATTTACAGCCTAAGGCGTACCTGAACCTACAATTTCAGTGTATCATCAGGGAAATTTAATGTTTATCAAGGTTCGTGTACATTGTTTGAGTGTGGGAATGTGTTGATCCCTATCTATAAATAAAGTTAATAATGTTTAGGCTTATATATAAAAACCAATATTTAAACAGTAATAATAAGTATGGTTGATAAAGTAAACGTAACCAATTTCTTTTAAAGCGGCAGTTTTCTTGCTGGCCATATTGTTAAATTTTCAGAAAGAGTACAGAATATTTTTGGAACCTGTCTAGTGAAGGGTGAAAATTTAAAGTTTTCTGTTCCTGACGATTTCTCCTTGGTATGTCCATATCACTGAACTGCGCTCTTATTCGCTTATATTAATGAGATAGATGTCAAATTATATGGAGAGATTATCTAGATTAGTGGTAGTACAATAGCAATTCCACATTATGATCCAATACCCAAACAGTACAGCTCTGCTAAAAATAAAGCACAAAGAATCTAATTTTTATAATAATAATAATAATACAGTAATATTTTATCCACTAAACTACTTCCTATCAATGTACGAGTATATAGGCCAAGTAAACAACGAAAAAATGTTTAGTTAAAAGAAAATGATTCCTCTCCTATTGAGGGTACGCGTATCTTCAATTGAATAAAATAAGAATATTAAGTGCACTAGTGAGTCTCAAAATATCAACCAGAATAAATTAATCGTCTACACTATACTCTCATATTTTTATCCAAAATTATTCAATTAATCAACTAACGTAAACTAATATTCGTATCACCAAAAATCTGTTAAAATAAAATCAAATCCCCTTTGCACATTTTAAACCATTAAAGTGAAACCGGCCTAAATACACAGAATACTCTTTATTCCACACACATAGAACCGGACAAACCCGTTAAAGAATAAATCATCTGCTCAACAATAGTCAGTAACAAGCGGTGGTTAGGTAACAATCAGCTGTAGCTGCATAACATCTGGTTGTAGTGGTGGGAGAGACATAGTTGCGAATAACTCATCGGTCACTTCACTAGTTCTATTTTATCAACATGGAGCGGTTGACTGTGTTTCTACTGATTTTGGGGGTTACTCTAGGTAAGGTTTGTTATGAATATTTGTACTTTTGGAATTGTAAGCTCATAAATTAATCTTATATTTACTTAATATTAGATTTATTTTAACTTTTTTATTTTATACTCATATATTTCAACTGTTTTTTCTTTTACATTTATGATAGTGAGGTTATGTTTATCATAGGCATTTAAAATATTAGTACTGGTAACAGCTGATTTACGATTAAAACGCAACTGTTTTATCTGTTGGAATTTGACCTCTTAACAATTTTAATTTTTGTGTAAAATAATGGTTTTAATGTATTCAAGAAATTATTTTAACGGAGAGTTTGAATAAAACTTATGAATGTTGAAGTAAAAGCTGCCAGTTAAATACTATATTTACTCAACTGTAATTCATCTTCACCACCCAGACCACGACACATGTTGGTAAATATACTTAAAAACTTACTGTAAATTTGTGAAACCTTTTCCATTCAGAGGGGAAATTGCCATTAGTTTCACTACACTCTTAATCACCTGTTCTTGAAACGTTATTTGACCAAAACAATGATAAATGTAAGATTAAATTGATTTCTTTAAAAATATTTTGTATATATGTATAATATACCTATTGCTCATTGACTGTATTTTTTTAAATTTTAAAACCAAGGTTTTTTACAGTTTTGGAAGTAAGTATTCTCTTCGATGAAATATTTTTAGTTTAGGATATATCAGATTCTTGATTTGTATCCAAAATAGTACAACGTTAAAAATGCAAAAGAGAAAATTCAGTAATGGCCCAAAAGTAAATTAACCTCATTTCTGTAGTTCAAAGATCCATTAATTTATACAATCATTGATCTCATTGTTTGTTTTTGTTTCAGGATTTGACGTGACAGATATATTCCGTAAGTTAATTTGTATATTTTGATAACGATAGGACAAAGTTTGACTGCTAATCAAGAAAATACGTCATGTTTTAATCTACTTTTTACGTCTAATCTAGTTTGTTTGCTTGGTTAAAAATTGAAATATTTGGTAATATAAACCATATCATATCAATGTTTGGAAAGTTTTAAAACACTTACATTTCACTATATAAAACTACTTTACAGGAATTTTGAAATCGATCACCTTAAAGATTAAATTTGAATTTTCTTAATAGCTTACTCATTTGTGTTTTGAGTTCCAAATAATGTGCAAGCATTTCATTTTTATTGTATTATAACTATAAAAAATGGCAATCCATAAAATTGTTTATTAAAGAAATTAAAGAATTGTTTGTTTTATTTTATGAAGAAGTTTGCAGGCTACTTGCTGGGTTTTTATATGGAGCTCGTAAAGAAACTGTAAAAAATAGTTGATTCTAGAAGTGACTTTGCAAGCCTCCTCGTGGTCTTATCGGATTGTATTGCAAATAATCCGAGGGTATTCACAGTTGCTTGTGCACAAATGATGTGTATTGGGTTTGTTGATGAAGGAATTGGCCAATTTTGAGATTTGGGTGTAGTACTCGCCGAAAGCCTTCACTTTTTTCAGCATATCTTGTAAACTTGTCTTGGGTAATTGAAACGTAAACTTAATGAAAGTTGTTCAAAACAAACAGATGAAGACACCGAGCTTCCAAAGAAAGCACAGATCGCTCAAGAAAAAGGATGGGAAAATGTGGAAACGGACACAAAGCTTAACATCATGTGGTACAACAAAGGTGGTTCCCCCGTACAGATGGCGTTCGACAAAAAGGACATTTTGGCGGGAGTGAGACTAGCGGTGAGGACTTTGTTTTTTTATTTAGCTTTCTTATCTTTTATTAACTTATATCAGCTTTTATATTTTATAATTAGTTTACATTAGTTTAAATTAGCCTTTATTACCTTAGATTAGCTTAATTCATTTTTAATTAGCATATTATCTGAAAATTAGCTTAAATTACCGTTTTAACTTAAATTAGCTTTTATTATCTTATATTAGTTTAGTTTAGATTAATGTCTACGCCGCTGATATGCCAGAATGTGTAAGCGAAGGTGAGTGGCCTATGAGTGAATGGATGAGATACCATTGTTACTGACTAAGATCAGCTGATTCTCTTGCCAAAACTATTTATTCCCAGCTGATCAAGGATGGTTGGGTACAGTGCACGACCGCCTTTAACTCCAGGCCGCGGCCTTCGAACTGGCAACGTTGCAAGTGGTGTTGTAACTGCTGTTTTGTTTGGAAGCAGCTAATGGTATTTGTGTATTTACCTAACCCGCCATGTTATACTTCCCTATCCCAAGCGTGATGTATACAACTTCTTTACTTCTCGTGATGTAAAGTTGAAAAAAAAACTCACTCGGTGAGGTAATGAAACCTATTTAAATAACATTGAGTGCTTAGCTAAAAAAATATACCTCTATGGAGCCAAAGACGTTCAACGCTACAAATCAGCTGTGCGCTTGAATTTTATTGTTATATTTTAAAGAATTTTCCTAACCTAGCTTTTGTTTGTAAATGAACGTTACTGTAAATGAACGTTACTCGCTTCCGCTCGTTGCACAACATTCACCTGCGTGATGTAAAAAACGCTCTTCCTTCACTTGTAAGGTAAATAGCTATTACGAAAGCCTGGTTACTTGACTCTGCTTAAAAATGTACAGATATAGATTTTAATTCATATTGTTTCGGTTTTCAATTCTGTATGTTTTATTTTCAATATTTTAATAAATTTATGTTCATAAATTTAAATTTAAAGCAATGAAGTGCGAATTAATGAGCTGATGTCACCTGTCTGCCATGTTATCTTATGGGACGTCAGACACTAAACAACCCTACTTGCGATGTTGCCAATTCTACCAGGCCGCGGCCTGGAGTTAAAGGTGGCCGTGTACAGTGACAAACCAATAATAAGATTTTAAATTATTATAAAAACAGATCCCTTCGCAATCTTTTGGTTAGGTAAGCCTAAAAAGAATTGCATTGAATTTCGTACCGTATAATTTTTAGCTATATTAAAAATGCAATCTTGAAGCAATAAACAACTTAAAATCTCAAAACTCTCACAACCTCATCCTAACAAAATCTGAACAATAACTAGATATAATTGATATAAAATTCGAATCACGGCCTATTCATTTA